TCACAACCCATGAAAATCATTGCCCTTTTTATGAAATGCACTTGCTTTGATTTATTTTGTATTGATTGATAATTGAGAACTCACACTTCACTTCACCATAATTAGAAGCCACCACAAATACGAAATGTAAAGCTGATCGTTTTTGCTGCATGTGAAGGCAGCATCGTGTGTGTAAACTGAAAAGATGTGAGCCCACAGGGTCCTAGCGCCTGCCCTTCCCATCCCCATTCACTGTACTCTAAATGTTCAACAGGTGGAAACACAAACAATCCTGATATTTTACATCACAAAAAGAGAAAAGATTAGAAATGAAATGAAATAAAAGCGATTGTGTTATTTAATGTTGCAGAATATAAAATTATGCTCTTTTTTTTTAACTCCACAATGAAGTTTTGGTGCTGTTTGCAGTTAATCACACTGTATAACTTTTACAGCAAATCTGTAAGTTATTCAGTTATTAACAGCAAAATGAATTAAATGCTGTGAATTAGAGAGTCAAATACGCTGATGTGTGATGTATAGATTCTGTATGCATTATGAAAATATCAAAGGTACATTTATTTTCTTATATTGTCATGAAGTATAAAAAAAGATCCACCAAACTGAGGTTAAAAGCAAGTTTGCACTGAAACAAAGTAAAACATAAACAACAAGAAAAGATTAATAATTTAAAGAAAAGAATGACCCAAAGACCCCTTCACTAATAGTAGGTTGCTGGGAAACTTAAAGCTTAATTTCCTTTTACTGCTTGATATTAGCAAACACTGTAACCAGAAATAACCTTGAACTCATTTTAACGGGTTACATTTTGTAAAGCACACTGAATTTGGATAAGGAATTTCTATACAAATGAAAAAGCACGATTAAAAAACTGTTTAAAAAACTGCAGAAACTACAGGAATAGCAACAGAGGAGGGAATATTCCTCCAGTTATGCAATACTTAAGTGTCATACACTGTATGTACAGAATAGACATAAGGAAGAGTCTTCAAATAAAATGCAGTCAAAACATAATCACAGTACAAAGTAGCAACATTAAGAGTGCCTGGGATATGGAATAACAGTATAAAATTTTAACAGAACTAAAGAATAGCAGGGTTACAACATACCATAGAGAACTTAACATTAACTAAATGTAGCATTTATACAGTTTGTTTGACACGTTTTGTAAAGTGAATTAAAAGATAACGATGGTGATAACATATGTTTTTATTACTGTCAACAAATGCCATGAAAAACCAACAATGAACTGATCCTACTAACAAGCATTGTATGTGTCTCCAAAGCCTGATAATGTTCTGTGCCATAAAGCTCCATTGTTGTCCAAGAACTATCACGCGCACGCACACACACACACACACACACACACACACACACACACACACACACACACCAGTTTATTTTGACTCAATACCACATACACCGTCCTGTTTCTGGAAATGCTCTATAGAGCCCTAAATGTGTATTAGTCCACAGCTGAAAATGTTCCCTAACAAATACACTATTTGGTCCTTGTTGTGCAGCGTTTGATAAAAACTACTGCGCCCAGATGTTTTAGGAAATTATTGAGTCTTGAAGATGAAAAATGAAACCATATTTGTGACACTTTTTTATCTTCAGTTGGAATTAATGGGCCTGTTGCTGAGAGTTAGAGACGGGGACGTCAGAAAGTATCAAGAGACAGACTTACATTGTTGATTCTTGTCTTTTCTTTTTAAAGCACTTTGTTGTGTTGTTTATTGTGTATTGAGTGTGTTACTGCTACTGACTATTATTTCTGTGGGAGATGGTCTGTTTCTATAATGTAGCGTGTAACACACTGTTTTCTATCACAAATGTCAAATACATTTCATTTTGAACCATACGTTCTTGGGAATCTTTCAGTCAATCTCACTTGCAGCATCTTAGTCGTCATGGATACCAAGCGCCTCTGCAAAGATGTGAGGTGCCAAAGCAAATGCTCTATAAACTCCCTAATACACAAACACACATATGTCTAGCAAGCTTAGTGACTGTTAGTTGACTCAAAGTGTATATGTTTAGATTTGTGCTTTACGTTTGTGTAATCGTGTGTGTGTGTGTGTGTGTGTGTGTGTGTGTGTGAGATCTAGGCATGCTTTAGTGAATTCACATTTGATCATGCATGTGTCCCTTTCAGGATCAAAGTTTCTACCACCACAATCTGTTCCCATGGAGACATGAGAGTGGATTCAGCGTGTCATGGATTTCTGGGCTTCAGGGCCTCTTGTTGAATAAGAATCAAAAAAAGATACTGGACAAAAGAAGAACTGGAGAAACTGCAGACAGTACACAGAGGTATGTTTTGTATTTGGTAAACAATAAGGTTACAACTTCTGCCACGAACCCTGAATGTAACATGCAGCTTTGCCCCACAACATATATCAATGCCAATTGCTTTTACTTCTCACATGTCCTGCACAATCTGCCTTTTTGTATCATATCCTACATATCCTTTGGGTTTGGTTGAATCAACCCTTTAACATCCATGTCTACACCACACAACAACGTTGTCGACACCAGTGATTCTTAACCATGGGGCCGCGAACGCCACCTAGAGGGCCGCAAAAAACCTTCAGTTTTGCACTGTGGGCCGCGGGACCGCATAGGTTATCAATTGAAGACACCAGAGATATTACTGTTCTCCATGAGACGCTCAGTTACAATATAGCTTCCCACCACCTGGTGGCAGTAATGCGTCAGTCAGTTGTTTAACAAGCTACAATAAGCAGAAGAAGACACTCAGCTAGCCGCTAGCCCAGGCATGGGCAAACTACGGCCGTTGGGCTTTTTAATCCGGCCCTGTCAAATATAACGCTCGTGGGAAAGCCTGTTGGGCTTCTTGTTGTGTATGCAGGTTTACATACACATGATAAATAAATGTCTTTGTGATCATCACATTGTATCATCTCATTTATTTGACAAGGGTTTTGCCTGTTCAACTCCGCGAGGGCGCCGGCGTCCTCGATCCCCTCCCCTTCCGTTCCTACGGCTTGCTTGTGCAAACTACGTCACAAAACATGGCCGTGTTTGGTATCCCAGCATGCCCAAAACCCTCATCTTTGCACAGTCATCGATTTTCTTTCATTTCTTATGGATTTTCCACAAAAGGAGCCCAAACACACACTGTCCAAAGTCGCCATAACCGCTGCAAGTCGGATCTTGCAGCATTTCGACGGAAAAAGACACATTACAGACCCAACAATGTGCTAGCGGATGTTACCATGGAGCTAGTACCTTCAGAAAACGCAAGTACTTAAAGTGCAAACCTTATCTTCCTCTTCTATAAGCTGTCAACCAACATATCCTTGCGTAACTGAGCTACTCTCATACTCGATCGTGCGCTCAGTCGCAGCCATTACGCACAGTAAGTCCGCTACTTACATACCACGTTTTTGACCATATATATATAGTTTTGCAATTTGCAAAGGCTAAAAATAAAAGGAAAATAATATAATATCAATATATAAAGGGAGAAACACCTTTAGTGTGTCAGAATATCATTTGGTTACCATGTGTCCATTTGGGTCTCCAAATATCCTGTTAGAGCTCCGCCTGGATCTCTTCATGGAAGAAACACTGTAGAATCGTCATACTTTGTCCAATCTTCTTCAAATTTGACGCAGTTGTTCACTGATAGTGTAGTTACAGCGGTATACTGTCATTTACCTGTACAGATACAGCCACAGGCAGTTATTTATACTGAAAGATACTGTTTTATTTTATGCGGACAAAAATCTTCAATTTTTACTGACTGCAAAGACCCACTGCTCTGTTTCTATATGACCTACAGGTTTTCTGACACTTTTGATGCATGTGGTCACAGTGGTTCAGAAGCTACAGCCATTTGAATTTGGGTATGTCACTTTAGGCGGTTTTGCTCCAAAATAGGGGTGGAGTTGAACAGGTAACAATATAGTTATTGAATACAAATCAAACCAAGAGTGAGATCAATTAGTTAAGCTAATAGTGTTAATATTTGAATGGGCCCCGGGACACTTTGTACTTGAAAAGTTGGGCCCCGAGGTCAAAAAGGTTAAGAACCCCTGGTCTACACCACAAGGGAGTTACCAATGGACAGCGGATTCATTCGCAGGCCACTCCTGAAAGGATCATCTTCCTGTGCCTGACAAGAGTATGCATTAGGGAATTGTGGTAAACCTGTAACCAGCAGCTGCCTCAGCAGTAGTGATGTGGTGATGGGGGCCACAGTCATACGGTATATTACAGACCATAAATACAATCAACCTGTGGGACTGTGAGTGTACATCCATGCTGGGAGTTCTAAGAGGCTATATTTAACCTTTGGCTTTGAGGAAATGCTAAAGTCACCATGCTAACAATCACATTGCTAACATGCTGATGTTTAGCGGTATGGTGACCATAGTCACCATCCAAGTTTAGCGTGTTAGCATGCTAACATTTGCTATAAATAGCACTAAAGCTGAGGTCTGATGGGAAGTCATTGGATTTGCAGGTCACAAACCTAAGTATTGGACAGGCAACAGCAACTGAGCTGCAAAGAGAAACCAAAGAACTACACAAACTGAGGAAAACAGGTGAGGACAATAACTTGCACTGAATGAATATTAAGCCAAGGGGGACACCTGGTGGGGAAAAACAGTCAGGACAAAGAAGCCCAACCAAACTGAAGGCTAGGAGTGGAGGCAAATACAGTAGCCCTTTCCTTTTGCTGAGAGGCTGCAAGGACACGCCTTTCATAAAACAGGGGGAAAATTTCTAATTGTTTGATTGTGATACTTGTAATTGTGGAGCCTACTTTCAGCTAAATGTGTTGTCTTGGACCACTTTTATGTCCCATACTCTTCCCTTCACATAAACATGCTGCCTCACTGAAACGGCTCCTCTTCCCAGAATGAATGTGAGCGCAATCACCCCTCCCCCTCTTCCTGCTGTCGAACACAGCCAGTCCAACAGTACAGACACTTCCTGCTTCCTGCCCCTTTCGCAGATCTGCCAGTGTACATATGAGTGCAACACGTTGTAAAGTGAAGCCCCATTCACTGCAGATCAGCAAGGAGCTGTAAAGAAAGGGAACTAAGCTTCGGTTTGGACCAGCTCTCAGTTGTTATCTTATATGAGAAAGTGAAACTATTTCACATTCCATGTCTCTTCGGGGTGAAATGGCGCAGCAACAAAATCTGATGGATCGGAAAAAACTCTGCTGTTCCATCTGTCTGGATCTACTGAAGGATCCAGTGACTATTCCCTGTGGGCACAGCTACTGCATGAGCTGTATTAAAAGCCACTGGGATGGAGAAGATCAGAAGGAAATCCACAGCTGTCCTCAGTGTAGACAGACCTTTAGACCGAGGCCTGCGCTGGTGAAAAACACCATCTTGGCAGATTTAGTGGAGGAACTGAGGAAGACGGGACTCCAAGTTGCTCTGGCTGATCACTGCTACGCCAGACCTGAAGATGTGGGATGTGATTTCTGCTCTGGGAGAAAGCTGAGAGCTCTCAAGTCCTGTCTGCAGTGTCTGGTCTCTTACTGTGAGCAGCACATCCAGCCTCACTATGAGTCCCCAGCCTTTGAAAAGCACAAGCTGGTCGACCCTTCCCAGAAGCTCCAGGAGAACATCTGCTCTCATCATGGTGAAGTGATGAAGATTTTCTGCCGCACTGATCAGCAGTGTATCTGTATTATGTGCTCCAGGGATGAACATAAAGACCACGACACGGTCTTGGCCTCAACAGAAAGGACCGAGAGGCAGGGAGAGCTCGGAACAAGTCGACAAAGAATCCAGCAGAGAATCCAGAGCCGAGAGAAAGACGTGAAGGCGCTCCAGCGGCAGTTGGAGGCCATCAATCACTCCGCTGACAAAGTTGCGAAGAACAGCGAGAAAATCTTCACTGGGTTGGTGCATCTTTGCAAGAGCAGAAGCTCTGATGTGAAGCAGCAGATCAGATCCCGACAGAAAACCGAAGTCAGTCGGGCTATGGAGCTTCAGGAGAAGCTGCAACAGGAGATCACCGAATTGAGGAGGAGAGACGCTGAGCTGAAGCAGCTCTCACGCACAGAGGACCACGCCCGGTTTCTACAGAACTACCCCGCACTGTCATGTCTTAGTGAAGCTCCAAACTCGCCCAACAAAAACATCCGCACTCTGCACTACTTTGAGGATGTGACGAGAGTTGTGTCAGAGGCCAGAGAAAAGCTGCAAGGCATTCTGAGTGACGCGTGGACCAAGATCTCAGAGCCTGAAGTGGATGTTTTACGGCCACAACCAGAGCCCGAGACCAGAGCGGAATTCTTACAATACTCATGTCAAATCACACTGGATCCAAACACAGCAAACGCACGGCTGTTATTATCGGAGGGGAACAGAAAAGCAACAGTGACGAGTGAAAAACAGTTGTATTCAAATCATGGAGACAGATTTACTGACATGTTTCAGGTTCTGAGCAGAGAGAGTGTGAGCGGCCGCCATTACTGGGAGGTAGAGAGGAGCGAATGTGAAGTTTCAGTGGCGGTCACGTACGAGGATATCAGCAGAACAGGATATGAAAGTGGTTTTGGAAATGACGACAAGTCTTGGGCATTAGAGTGTTTCAGCAACAACTACGAGTTCAGACATAACGGTTTAAAAACTTTTATCTCAGGCCCTCAGTCCTCCAGAGTAGGAGTGTACCTGGACCACACGGCAGGTATCCTGTGTTTCTACAGCGTCTCCGCAACCCTGACTCTCCTCCACAGAGTCCAGACCACATTCACTCAGCCACACTATCAGGGACTTGGCGTTTTTGCTTCACACGGAAACGGATCTGCTGCTGTGTTCTCTGAGCTTGAGTAGAAAGAAGTTAGGAGGCTGACTGTGTGCTTTATTTTTTGAGTCAGGAACTGTGAGCTATGATTGTATAACCATTGCCAAAACAGAAGGCTGTGCAAACACATCTTTCATCAGATATTTTAGTTTTTTGGCTCATGACCTTCTTCAGAGAAGTTTGGCAATATTTACTGCAACTTCTCTTCTTCCTTTGGGAAGCCAAAATAAGGGAACATTTTGTATTCATGAGTAATGGAAGTGTTAAAAACAATCTGGTGGCTGTCTTTCTTTGCCATGTTTGCTTATGAAATGTGGATTGAGTCCCAGCACATTTTTATTATGAAGAAGAAATAAAATCACCAATGATTTATGTTTGCATTTACAGTCAGTCAAGAAGACACAGTTAGAGTAAAGGTGTGATTTGTTCCAATGTCTGCAGAAACTCACTCCAATCAATGAAGGTTCAGAGTTCCGATCTTTCCTCACACTAATCATTTCTCTCTTTTTTTTTTACTATATTCTATAAAGTATTAGCCACAAAATATGTAGCTGAAGAGCATTTACAGCAGAGCAAAGCCATAGTGGGCTCATTGCACTAATTCTTTTATATAAATCATTTTTGTTTACAGTTGCACTGTAATCGAAATTGCACTAATAGTGTTTTTTATGTGAACGAAATGTTTGTGATTTTTTTCTTTTACATAAACCTGGTTTATGATCATTGTGTACAATTATGATGGAAATCACTTTGCAAATAAACTTAGTATTGTCAATTTGGCTTCCTTGACCATGATGTTCATTATTGGATTGCATTTAAAAAAAACATTGACAACTGAAAGCAACTGGCTGCCTCGAGTTCAAGTGTTGTTGTACCTTAAGTACACTTTTAAAGTGTCACAATTTACTTAAATACATAATTTTTTTTTTGCCTCTACAATCATTCATTTGAGCAATTATATATTATATATAATAATAATATTGAGCCAATGAGCTGCCTAATATGTACTTTTGATACTTGAATGAATTGTTTAATTTAATTATTGTTGACGTATTATTTGGATTGATTTTGATTGAATGTAGCCAATGCTTATTTATTCATTTATTAAATTTGAATCACAGTGGAAACAGAAATAACCTATTTCACCAACATAACCTCGTGATAAAGGTGTTTAATAACACATGACGTGGATAGAATAAGGCCCAGTCACGTCTATTATAAAATATTATGGATAATAAGTCAATATATTTTAAAACACTCGAAAAATAAGCGGAACTCTCTGTCGATAGAAGAGCCCGGCTGAAACCAACACGGAATGTTTTAGTGACGCACATCGGAACACGGAAGTGAAACGCTGTTTCCGTGTTTATGTTTTCATCTTAGCGCCGAGCAGAAAAGCTCATTTTGTGAACCAGTATGGCGGTGAGCGCCGTTCACCTGGAGTCGGACGCCTTCCTGGTGTGCATGAATCACGCGTTAAGCACGGAGAAAGAAGAGGTGATGGGTCTGTGCATCGGAGAGGTGGAGACCACCCGGATCGTCCACATCCACTCAGTCATCATCCTCCGCCGCTCGGACAAGAGGAAGGACCGGGTGGAGATCTCCCCGGAGCAGCTGTCGGCGGCCTCCACGGAGGCGGAGAGGCTGGCCGACATGACCGGCAGGCCGATGCGGGTGGTCGGCTGGTACCACTCCCACCCGCACATCACCGTGTGGCCCTCCCACGTCGACGTGAGGACCCAGGCGATGTACCAGATGCTGGACCAGTGCTTCGTGGGCCTCATCTTCTCCTGCTTCATAGAGGACAAGAACACCAAGACGGGCCGCGTGCTTTACACCTGCTTCCAGTCCGTGCAGGCGCAGAAGGGCTCCGAGTACGAGCGGGTGGAGATCCCCATCCACGTGGTGCCCCGCGAGGCCATCGGCAAGGTGTGCCTGGAGTCGGCCGTGGAGCTGCCGCGGATCCTGTGCCAGGAGGAGCAGGACACGTACCGCAAGATCCACAGCCTGGCGCACCTGGACCCCGTCACCAAGATCCACAACGGCTCGGTGTTCACCAAGAACCTGTGCAGCCAGATGTCGGCGGTGAGCGGGCCGCTGCTGCAGTGGCTGGAGGACCGCCTGGAGCAGAACAAGCAGAGCGTCGTGGAGCTGCGGCAGGAGAAGGAGAGGCTGCTGCAGGAGCTGGCTTCTATGTGAGCCGGGAGGACAGAGAGGAGACTACTATCGGTTGTTGTTTTTGTCCACGAAGGAAACGGACCTCCTGTGTTGCTTGTTTTTACGTTCTTTACCGTTTTGTACCAACCGAAAAGTTGTCCATAATATGAAGAGTCTGAAACTGTCTGACACCAAAAGGGTGGCATCGCAGTCTTGATTTAGAAATGTCCTTATTTAAATCGCTATTGTATTACATTTATCATATTTGGGGTCATTCTCTACAACTGTGTTATGCGGCTGCAACTCACGAATAAACTGCCAAATATTTAATCATTTGGTCCTAAAAAATTTCCCCGAGAATGTTTTCCCCAAACATAAGTCCAAAGCAAAGATGCTCAAATTAAAATGATAAAAACAACAGAAACTCTTAAAATCCTCACATTTGAGAAGCTGGAACCAGAACATTTTTGGCAAATATTGCTTGGAAAATTCTTTAAAAAAATGTGTTGGTTACCAAATAGTTTTCTTCTGTCAATCAACTAATCCATGAATCAACTCGCTGCTTCAGCTCGCTTCCCCAGAGCTGCTATCTAAAGTCTCAAAGACGTAGTTCTGCTTACTTGTTTCTTAGACCAGATAGTTTCCTGATTTGAGTTTTTGTTCAGCTCTTTGGTGACAAGAGAAAGTTAAACTGACTCATTTGAGAAGTTGGCCGACATAATGCGATGGAAGATGTTAACCCACCCACAATGGGAATCAATGGTTAACTGGAGGGAAAGCTGATGGTGTGAAATATTAAGTAATCTATGGTTAATGGGCAAAAACACTCAAATCTTACGTTGGGTCACGTCTCCCTTCTTATAAACACTCTGAATCAGAGCCAACTGGGCACATTGAGCGACGTGCGACAAAGAGAATGTGCCTTTGGACTAACGGGTGTTGCTGTAGATACTGTCAATGAGGGATTTTGAATGCAAAGGCGGGGTGTGTGTGTGTGTGTGTGCGTGTGTGTGTGCGTGTGTGTGATTGACATTTGTTCACTCTGTTTGCTTTGTCTTTTTCTTCTGCCTCGTCTCCTCCCAGATTTGTAAAGCCTGAAATCTTCTTTCTTTTGAAGGTGCATTATTCAGGTGTGACTAACATGTTTTTTCTCTGCATACTGTAAAATAAAACAGCTGCTGCTGCTGCACTGTGACCCACACACACCTCACTGTAGTCCTGAAACAATGAGGTGATGATACCGAACCGAAAACACGTTTCTGTTATGAGTTTGAAAACGGTTTCAGGAATTATTAGTGAAGAAGAAATATTCCAGCACAGCTTTCTCACAGTTTGTTCTAATGCAGGGGTCACCAACCTTTTTGAAACTGAGAGCTACTTCAAGGGTACTGAGCAGTACGAAGGGCTACTTGTTTGATACAAACTTCCTGAATAACAAAGTTGCACAGATCACCTTTTAATAATAATAATATATGTGAAGAGACTGATCACATGTCAATGTTAATTATTCCTCACAATAATTATTAACAATGATTGTGGAAATCATTAACTGTCATATCTTCACATCATGACTCGATTGTACTAACTAACCACTACCTTCGTAACATTTTTGAACAAATCATGAACTCTGTTCCATGTTTATACAAATTATCAGTTATGTCGAATAAAAAAAATCAACTCTTTCACATGTTTAAATGAATCCTATTACATTAGTACTAATCACCACATTTTGGGAAATCTGGGTCAACTTTGCATTGCGCAATGAAGCCTGCATGCCGGCCTGTAGTCTGTAGTCACCGACACCAGCTTTTTTTTGGGTACCATTTTCTCCACGAAGAAACTAGTAAAAAGTCTTGTTTATAGCCGAGGGGGGGATCCAACACTCCGAGGCACGCAAGCGTCTTTGAGCGCCTGCGTTCAAACCTAGACTGGGCCTTTTCGATCGTACTGAGTTGCCTTGTCTCTACCCCCGCCACCCACGAGTTGTTGCCCCGCGGCCTGTTACGAGGACTGACGGACCTGACGACGGTGTGCGATCGCGGCGGGGGCGGTGCGTCCGGTGCCAACGGGAAGCGCCCGCCATTCGGAACCTGAAAACCTAGTGCGGTGCGGCCTCTTCCTTTTAAAATCTACATGAATGCAAGCGTTTTTGATTAAAAAAGGACAGAAACTACAATTTTTAGACGGAGCTCCATGGGGACCTAGTGCTATTTTTAGAACATGCCTTGCGGGCGACTCACATGGTCCCTGCGGGCGACCAGGTGCCCGCGGGCACCGTGTTGGCTACCTCTGGTCTACAGAATATGGTATCTGGCAGTGCTCACATAGTCCTGTTGGGTGTTTATTTATTAGTTGCATTGTTTTGTTCAGCCTTGTGTGTCCAATCCTCAGTCTGGTTAATGTGTTTTCTTCTGTGGTGCTTCTTCTGGATGTCCTCCCTTTGCCAACTTCTTTCTGAACAGCATAAAGATGTCTTCCTGTGTCTTCCACAGTCCCAACTGTGCTGCCATTCATTAATATTTCTATTGATTATTGATTTAGCTTCTGCTTTGCTGAGTAAAATGTCTGTCTTGTGCTGACTTCCTAAAGCTTGTTTTGCTAATGTATCTGCTCTTTCGTTTCCTTTTACCCCTCTGTGTGCTGGTACCCAAATAAATGACATAAAAATACCCATATTCTTAAGTCGGAACAGTGTTTCATATATTTCATTAATTAAATCCTGCCTGCTATGAGATGTGAATGATTGTAATGAGGATAATACTGAACTGGAATCTGAACAGACAATGACCTTTTCGATCCGAACCTCCTCCACCCACTGCAGTGCTGTTATAATGGCCAACGTCTCAACTGTATAAACAGAGAGATGATCTGATGTTCTCCTTTTAACTTCATATTGCAAGGTTGGTATGGTGACTGCAAAACCAGTTCTACCTGTATCAGGATCTTTAGACCCATCTGTGTATGCCGGGGTAAATGATTGATATGTTGCCTGTAGTCTATCCTCCACCACTCCAGCCATGTTATCAATATCTTTAAATGCCTGGATTTTGTCCAAAAAATAATTATCAACTGACCCTGAGGGAAATAGCCACGGTGGTACAGTTGATAACGCTGCTGTAGGAGTGAATGTAGGAGTGAATGTATCTCTTCCTAATGTTCCACTGCTCCATGCAAAACATTCCTGTTTGGCCCTTTCTTTTTCCCAACATGGCAGAAGCACCTTTGTAGTTGGATGATTATCTCCAGATGTCCTTGCAGATTGGCCCAGTAATTCATAGTTAATAATTAGTAATTCTTGCGTCTTAAATGCATCTTAAATGCAGCGGCATTTCACCCACCTCCACCTGAAGAGCAGCCACGGGACTTGTTTTAAAAGCACCACAACACAGTCTCAGAACTTGGGATTGTAACACTTCCAGCTTCTTTGGTGAAGTTTTTGCAGCTGATCCATATACTACTCAACCATTATCAAGGACTGATCTCATCAAAGCGGTATGAATATTTTTAATTGCAGACCTACTGGCTCCCCTTTCTGACCCTGTCAGACACCTCATTACATTTAAAATCTTTTTACATTTCATAACTATCCTCTGAATACGCTCATTCCATGTTAATTTATCATCGAGCCACACACCAACAAACCTAAAAACTTTTACTTGCTCAATCTTTTGCCCGTACATCTTTATCTGAGCATCAAGTCCCCTCTTTCTAGTAAACATGATTGTTTTAGTTTTTCCCACAGAAAATCTGAATCCCCATGAATAAGACCATCTTTCTACCACATTCACAGCCTCTTGTACTTTCCCTTTAATATGATTTATGTTCTTCCCCCTCTTCCACAGTGCTCCATCATCAGCAAATAGGGATCGCCCAATATCACCCTGAACTTGAAGAAAAACATCATTTATCATGATGGAGAACAGTATCGGACTGATGACACTTCCCTGAGGTGTTCCATTCTCTACCTGGTATCTTCTAGATAGTGCTGTCCCAATTCTACCTTGAATAAATCTGTTAACTAAAAAATATTTAATCCAATTATATGTTATGCCACCTATTCCTATCATATTTAATTGAATCAATAACCCCTCCCTCCAAACCATATCATATGCCTTTTCCACATCAAAGAACACAGCCATCACTGACTCCTTATTCACCTGGGCCTTTTTGATTTCTGTTTCTAAACAAATAATTGGGTCCATAGTTCCTCTACCTTTCCGAAATCCACTTTGATGAGGTGTTATCATTCCCCTGGACTCCATATAAAACGTTAATCTATCTGTAATCATTCTTTCCATTATCTTACCTACATGGGATCTTAATGCTATGGGTCTATAATTTATTGGGTTTGATGAGTCTTTGCCTGGTTTCCTGATTGGGATAATCACAGCTTCTTTCCAAGAACTAGGTAGTCTCCCCACTTCCCAAACCTTATTATAAAAATATAACAATGTCATCCTTGCTATACTACCTAAATGCTTAAGCATTATATAGCTAATTTCATCCTTCCCTGGCGATGTAAGTCCTCCTCTTTCTATTGCTATTTTCAGTTCTTCTTAAGTAAATGGGGCATCGATTGAACTATTTAGTATTGTCTCTTTTTTCAAGAATATCAGGATGAGCTGATTGTGTCCTTTTCCTTCCTCTCTTACTGTCAGGTTGGCAGAGCTGTGAATTTCTGTTAATGCTTTTGCCATCATCTTTGCCCTCTCCCCATCCGACACTGCTGTTTCCTCCCCCCTCTTCAATACTGGATACTGCCGCACTCTTCTTATTCCTCTAATGCTTCTTATCATCCTATCAATCTCTCCCACAGGTGTTGATCTTCCAATTCTGCTACAGTAATTCTGCCAGCTTTCCCTTTTTGTTTTAAGAATGGTTCTACGAACCTTTGCTTGTGCTTGTTTGTATTGTATTAAATTTTGGAAATGATGTGTTCTTCTTAATAACTTAAGAGCTTTGTTCCTTTCTTTCACTGCTCTCACACACTCATCTGTCCACCAGAGGACTGCCTTTCTTTTCATCCTTCCTTTACTTTAAGCAATTGTTTGATTTGCTGCTTCCAATATTGTAAATGTCATCTCCTCAATATCTTCATTTAATTCTATTTTATCCATTTCTCGCTCACATATATATTCAAAAAGTTCCCACTTTGCCTTACTAAATACCCACTTACCTACTATATCTCCCTGTTCCTTACTCCTTTGCAATGATACTTTACAACTTATTGGGAAGTGATCACACTGATGTTTCGTCTTCTATATCCCACTCACATATTGCTGCTAAATTTCTTGATACGATAGTTAAATCTAGTGCAGATGTGTTCCCCGTGTGGACATCTAATCTAGTCCCTCTCCCATCATTTAGACAAACCAAATTATTTTCTTCTAGTAACTCTTCTATTACCTCTCCGTTTGCATCTGTTCTTACTCCACCCCATAACGTGCTATGTGCATTAAAATCGCCACATATCAACACCTTGTTGCCACTTATCCCTTCAATTTGTGCCAATATATTCTTCTCAAATTTTTTACAAGGCTTATAGAAATTTATAACTGTGAACTCTCATTCGCTTGTCCAGATCTCCACCGTTACATACTCTAGCTCAGTTCCTATCTCTACTTCTCAAAATGTAATGTCTTCACTAATGAATGTGGCACATCCTACTCCTAGACCACCCTCCCTATCACCCCTAACACACGTGTATCCAGCTAGTCTGAAGTCCAAATTTGCCCTTAACCATGTTTCCTGTATCCATATGACATCTGGTTTATTCGCTACATTTTCAACATATTTTTTGAATTCTTGTCCATTAGCCAACAAACTCCTAGCATTTTAATGTAGTGACCAGCTAAACAACTGAGGCTTCCTGCTTTTGTTCTTGGCCCCCACTCTGCTGATTGGCCAGCCTGAAGTTGGTGGAACCCCGGAGCAGCACGACCAGATGGAACCCAATCAACTGATTGACACAGGATAGGAGACTGAGGGAGAGAAAAAGAAA